CTTTACTGCATCTCTTTTTACAGCAACCTCTTCCTGTAGCATTAATTTCTGCTACAGTATATCTTCTACTGCATATGTATGCAACATATCGTCTATGGTATTTCTTTCTGCAGAATTTCTTATACTGCATATCATCTAGATTTATCTCTTCTACTGCATCTTTTATTACATCATATCTTCTACTGCATATCTTCTTGTCACTGCATGTCGCATCTCTACTACTTCGTTTCTCTCTACAACATATCGTCTTTTGCATATTTTTGCTGCTATTAATAATACGTTCGCAGAGTATCTTCTACTGCATCTCTTCTTGCAGCATATCTTATCTTGCGTCTTTCCCTGTAGCATCACTGATACTGCGAATAATTTCATTATATCACCTTCAACTTGAAACACCACATAGCATAGCCAGACCAAAACTCGGTTGTTAGGCACCTATTTTGGGGGATGCCTGGTGGTGTCTGCGAACGTCGGTTCGCGTCATGCACGTAGTACATGATTGCTTTAATTGTATTTACAATGCCGTTTATTCTATGTTATTTACTCACCTTCATATATAACCGTGGTTTCGCGTTTTGGGTCCAGATAGGCTTCAATTGATGGTATTGTCTGTCTGCTTTGTACACTGATGTTGCCGAGTATACCGAAAAAAAAACAAGCCTCGAACATATCCGACCAAAAACGACGTGAAACCCCAACTACGGGACATTCACAGTACACAGAGCTACTTTGAAATGAGCAATTTGTCACCAATAACGATGTACCATATTCAGTGACAGGGGTGAGTAGCTCAAATAAATGAAAGTATTAGTAATATCAGAGGTAAACTAACACTGGTAATTTGTATTGCTATGAACAATATCGGAAAGAAAAACAAATAACATAGCACATTTTCTTTCTTGAGGACTGATGACCAGTGGTCATTTTCAGGGAGGAGCGGTTTACTATATGCATGTGGCGAGATATGGGAGGGACTGTGATCGGAGTTTATGGATTTCAAATAAAAACAGTCTCAGTTTTGAATTCAAGTTAATTTTAATCTGTTTGTCTATAACAAAGGTCAGATTGGTACATCCATCCAAATATCTTAGTATATGATGGCATCATCGGCGCCATCGCGTAAAACAAACGACTGATAGTTTTTATTTTGTTATCCTAGTTAGAGGGCGCATATTTCAATATGGCTACTCAACTTTTATAAAACAAAAATGTGGTCTGCTCGATTCGCTGTCACCTCACTTCTGAAGCACGATTTTAGGCGTTTTCTGGTACAGAATAGGGTGCTAAACCGATTGAGGGTAACCCCTTTGTTGTCTGTTAATGTCTATAAGCCGTCTGTTTCGGCAAATCAGCGAAGGTTTGTATTTACACATCGGCAGTTATGCAGTCGCCGGGATTATGACGATCACGACGAGGACACAAAACGCCTGCTTGCAAATTTAATCCAGCGCGACTCCCGTGTGGAAAATGCCATTTTTATTGGATGTTTTGGTAAGTCGTAACGGTTGTCAACTGTTGACAATTTAATGAATACAAGTATCTCTTCTGCATCATTTCTTCTCCTGTTCCACTTAGTGCAGCACGTCTTCTAATTGTACATATCACATAGATAAATTCTACTGTTGTATACATTATAGATAGATCTTTTTTTTTTTTTGGAAACAAAATTCATATCTATCTTTTCGTATGATGTTACTCTCAATATCCAGTACCGACCCTTCTCCCATTGTACATGTATATATACCACTCTTCAAGACACATATAGTTAACTAGAGAGGCACACACAATTACATTGGTCTGAATTCTTAGGGTTAAGCACCAGGTTTACGTGTGGGAGGGCCTTAAACTCTTTCGTCCAATCAGTGTGCACAGTGCGTACCAACATCATTTGAAAACAATCCAATGTTATTCAGTCGACCAATAGAAACCTCTTAGTTCAGTTTGAATCATGAAATTGTTATTGTTCAGGGGAAAAAAAGAAGTTGAATTATAGTATAAATGCATTTTTTGTTTTGTAGGTTTTCTGTTAGTTTTAGGATGGGTAGGATATGAGTATTTATATAAACCAACACAGCGAACTATTGAGAAATTGATTGTCCAGGCAATGGTGAGTATAGTATGTAGTAAATAAACCATGCTGGTATTTTATGGATTTCTGTGGTGGGCACATAAGTTTAAACGGTCATTGTTATTCAAGTCTTATGCTTATGGATGGTTCCAGTTGTCCTGTCAACTT